ATATGTACATATATAAATGCATATATACATATATGTACATATACGAATGCATATATACATATGTGCACATAAATGAATGCAAATATACATATATGTACATATATGAATGCATATATACATATATGTAAAAAGTCTACAACATTGTATTATATATATTGCATATATATGTATATATATTTCTACTGAATGTTTTGGTACAGGACATTCAGTATAAATACACAGTATGAGTAGTTTCTGTACACCTTTATAACCATGTTTTCAAAATTGTTTCCTAGAAGAACCACGGTAATGCAGAGCAGAACAAGGTCCCAGAATGCAATAGTGACGGGACCCAATCATTGCGGCATGGAGTCATTCTGTTGCGTCCAACACTGTCAATTTCCATCAATTTCCAGCTAGCACGGATGAGCCTTGTTTGGTGATGTTTGGTCGCGGACAGGAACGTCACGGGACACCTGGCAATGTCAATACAGAGGTATGTATGTATATCCACACACACACACACACACACACACACTGCATACACAAGTCTGTGTATCTATATCTGTATACCCACCCCACCTCCTCTGTATTGGTCATGGACACCAGCTATCGCCTCCCGCGGCGCGCTAAAAGGGTCAATATGACCTTAACACACTCTCTGACCTCTTATATCTCTGGAATAATAATGACGGTGATAATGGAAGCATCGCCGCCAGCACGGGATTTGAAAAGAGACGTTTTCTTATTCATTATGTCAACACAAGCAGCATGCCCTTGGCTTTTCTGGGTTTTTTTTTTTGTTTCAGATCATTCAGAGGCTGTGAGTACCTGTGAGCACATTCTGCTCCAGACTAATAAATGGGTTGATGTGTTTTACCTAAGGCTCATGATTATCTGCTTTTGTGTCGTCGGAACTGTGTGTCACCAAGTGGTAGTAATTGCTACAAAAACCAAAAAGATATTTACCCAGTTTTAGGATAATGGATCCATTAATATTTTAGAGTATTTTCTAAGAGAGAAGCAGAAGCTCATCATGTACATCAGTGGTCCCCAACATCTTTTTGTCTCAAGGACCGGTCGGTCGGTATAAGCCGTTACTGTATCTCGCCAACGTTGAAGGATCAATAGATTTTCAAAATAAAACATCTTTATTCTCTTAGTATCGAAGTCTGAATGACCTATTGTTTTGAAACGTTGCCAGATCATAATTTTTGAATAAAGTAAATTAGTAAAACAAGTATATTTTTTCACTGCGTCCCACTGCGGCCCCTAACCAAATGACCTATGGACCAGTACAGGTCCTCGCACCGGGGTATGGGTACCACTGACATACATAATGACAATTGTTCTCTCTGTATTTAACCCACCCCTAGGGGGCAGTATGCTTTCTCAGACCACACAAAACAGCTGTTCCTTTATTTCATTTAAGAGATCAAGTTTAAAAATAAAAGTTTCACAAATGAGCAACTTTTCCTCGTTGTAGCTCAAAGGTCAGACCAAGCCAGAATCTGATTGGCTGTGAGAACCACTGGCAGTTTTCTGTAATGAGGCCGCTCAGTGATTCTAACGAGGCTAACTCAGAGTGTGTGTCCAGAACTGTGGCACTGTTGTCTGACGGTGAAGGATGATTTCTGGTCTCCAGTAATAAGCTGCTGATCGCTACAGGCCACTGGCATCGTTATGTTTGTACAGAAATGTGGCTGAGTGGGTAATGAAACTGCTTGAGTCTGCTTGAGTCTTGCTATTTAGGAGCATAATGGGTGGGCTAGTTAATATGGACGAAGGTCAAGTGTCTGTGGACTGAGCACCTGGTGGTAAAAAGATTAGATGCAGCATTAAGGATGCAGTGGTTTTAGTAAAATTTTTTTTTTTTTTAAATTCTCCCACTTTTGCTTCATACTTGTTGGGATTCACACCTGCTATGCACAGAGTTCCATGTTCAATTCCAACTAGTCCACAATCCTAGGTTGGTTTGAGTGACGGGTTGGGCCATGATGTCATCTAAAGATGCCCCTAAATAAATATCAACATTCTGTGTAATATTTAATATTCACACATACACTAAGACTTTTAAATCTCAGGTGATTTTTTTTTTTGATGACCCAAAACATATCACTTGTGACCAACCATTGGGCCTGGACCCTATGGTTTGTGTTTGAAAAATATTTTTTTATTTTTGATAATTATATAAATTCAGTTCATTTTGATTTACTTTATTTTATTGTTAATACAACCAAAACATGGGACATCAGCCTCCTGTTACAAATTCAGCATCACAGCAGGGGGCAGTAACGAGGCATTTTTGAGTAAAGCTAGTGTAAACACATTCAGACAGAAGAGAATGAAGGGTAGAGGTTAAAAATGAAAGAGAGAAACTATTACAGTGTTGAGACCAGATCTTAATCATAAAAATTACTGCGGTGACGATGACGAAGAAAAACGAGGAGCGGAGTTCTTCCCACTGTACAAAGACGAACCCCTCAGGGACAGTGACGTTAGAGGCGAGTCACAGTGTTTATTTAAAAACACATTCATTAACTTCTCAAAGTTATCGTGTTAGTGACAGTAGATTATTAATTCACCATGAATTACCAAAACCATTTAATAATAAGTCGTAGCCGTGAAACAGATCGATTTAAATAAATCACGATTCTCTCGCTCATCATTGATTCATTCTCTTTATATCGACTCACAAGAAAGTCAACATTTGTCTGCTTTGGCACAAAACCTATAAGAAAATGCGCAGTGAATATGTGACTTCTTCACGACCCGCAGCCTCGGTGCAAATCATCAAACTAATTTTGTTCAATGAATAAAACGTAACCTCAGAGTCTCTTTGTTAACCTGTGCAGCGAGGCCACCGTGGGATCTAATTAAAGAGGGTTTTTTTTCTACTCCTACTCCACTGCTTTGAGTTGTTTCCTGGAGAGCGATCCATGACCTCCGTCTTTATCTGACAGTTTTATTTTAGAATCAGGGAGCGTTTAGTTCGAGGAGCTGAACACTCTTCCGTATCCAAGTGATTGTTGTGTTCAACCACTGTTAAAAATAGACTAAGGATTAAGAATAGAAGTGCAATGCTCTGGAGGGAAGAGACAATCGAGCGTTTTCTGTAGCGACTAAGAAAATCAAGCAATTATGACATTTGGAATAGACTTCAAACGTTAGGTTTTGTGATAAAAAAAATATATGTATATATGTATGTATATATGTGTACATAAAAATGTGTGCATCATCTTTCCACCAGTTAACAAATAGCAAATAGATGAACAGGTAATAGTACCAACAACCCTGACCAATAAGGTGATAATGTGCCGGTGCAGGGTCTTATGTATATATGTATGTATATATGTGTACATAAAAATGTGTGCATCATCTTTCCACCAGTTAACAAATAGCAAATAGATGAACAGGTAATAGTACCAACAACCCTGACCAACAAGGTGATAATGTGCCGGTGCAGGGGCTTTCTGAGAAACTTATTTCAAAATTAAAAATAAAGACTTGTTTAAGTTTTTTTAAATTTTTAATGTTGACATCAACAGGTGAAGAACTTCCAGTCTTCTTATGTTAACGTGAGAGGTGATCCAAGAGGTCAAAGGTCATTCTGGAAATTCGTGATGAGTCTTTTTTAACTGACGCTCAAGTGAAACCGCTGTGCATTAAAATTCATGCCATGCAGTTTCTATGAATGAAAACAACGGTGGGGCCCGCCCAAAGCCCGAGTTAGTGTGTCACTCTGGTGCCATCTAGTGGTCAGGAACATAATTAAAATCAGGAGTTATTTCCAAAGTCAATTTTTAATGTATATTATTATTATTATTATTATCCACTGGTTTTCTAGGACATTTCAAACCACAATTAACCTGTTGTACAGATGTGCAGAACTGATCAAGTGGACCGTAAACTAATAATTTCTAATGTCTTACTGGAAAAGTTTTGTTGTTTAGTTTTTTTTCATATACCGTTAAAACTCCCACCAACTCACAGTAGTGTGGGCCCTACAGCCTTATTATAATAGCCAGATAAGTTGATATTAATGTATTAACTAGACAGTTAAAATGTTTGCACTTCTTAGAATTCCATTTTCCTTATGGACACCAAACATACTTTTTTTTCTTTTCCTCTTACGAAATCCACTTTATTCAGTAACACATATCAAGACAGTATCATAAAAGTACACAGTATAATATCGTTATTAAATGTTTGAGTTGAAAACCCTTATTTCCAACTGTGAGAAAACGAGCAGTGCCCCTTTGTGGTCATACTGGTGTAGTACAAGCTGTTTCTTTACTAGGAACTGTGTGGTCCTGTTCAGGTTTTGATTTGATTGTGATAATAACGGCCAATACAAAGGTATAATAAAATGTGAATCCGTTTTAGGTTTAATTACAGCCGAACTGTAGCTTAATTATTTCAGCGGCGTGTAATTAAACAGCGTTTTGGGAACTTGAGCTCAACGAAGAACCACCTCAGGTACAAGAGCTCCCTTTATCACCGCAGCCAATTCTTAGTTGTGGTGCCTTCACGTACAGCCTGGGTTGGCGATTTTTTCAGACCGACAGTTGCGACCAAGAGCAAACTACACAAGGATTGACATCAGATGGAATGAACCGTACTTCGGCCGCCGCATTTGAACGCTTGTTTATTTAGGCTTTTAAATAAACAACAAGTTCCGCTCTTAAACTGAACTGATCCGAAAATAACTGAAATGGCTTGTAGTAAATACATAATTGACGCAATTAAGATTGTTACTCCGCAATTAGTTTCTCTATGTCCTACTTTCAACATGTAGCAAACACGACAGTAGCAATATCCATTACAATCGATTTATTCTATTTGTTTTGCAAACGTGAACTGTAAGAAATATAAAATTAAAACTAAATGTAGTTTAACATATATATTAATCAATCTCGGGTTTTTTTGTTTGTTTGTTTTTTGCGGTGCGGGGGTTTAGTTTAACATATATATTAATCAATCTCTGGTTTTTGTTTGTTTTGGGGTTTTTTTTACGCCTGTTTTCGAAAAGTACAAAACGAGATTTTTCCGAGGCGCTCCTGAAGGCATCACTACTGTTTCCAGAGATGCTCGCAGCCGCAGCTCAACTCACCGTGTGGCTGCACAGGATCATGACAGAGAACAATGCGGAGACAGACACAGAAGATTAGTCAATCTGTCCAGTCTCAGTGATCGGGGATCATGGACAGTCGCAGGACGGACGCTACACGAAGCCGATCAGGAGACGCTTCCGGTGGCCTGAACACAGAGCCAGCGCGCCGTCAAGAACGGTCCGGGGAAACCGCGGACGCCGCAGAGTCGCAGCTTTGGCTGCCGGGATGGATGCGGCTCTACTTCTACGGGATGCACGGCGTGACCCTGGACGTCCTGCTGTCGTCTCTGCACGGGGTTGGTAATAATGGGCACCCGAAACTGCTGGGCTTTTCCTCCGTGTACCTCTGCATCTCGCATGCACTGACACACTTTGCGCTGGAGAAAATTTATGGTCAGAAGAGATGCTTCCAAGGTCGGCCTGTGGTGTTCCACCTCGTCTTCTACCCGTCCATCTACATCGGGCTGCAGATCCTGGTCGGGAACATCAACACTTTGACCGAGCAGGTTAGAGTGGTGTCTGGGACTCAGCTGCTCCTGCACTACATCCTGGCACTCTACTTCACCCAAGTGTTCCACAAAGGAGTGGGCAGGCTGCAGTATAACCCCTCCATCTGCCTCACTGACCTTTTGACCAAACATGGCCAGGGGAACAGAGGCGAGGTTCTTTCAGGCCTTGCGCGGTTCCTGTTTTTTGGGATGCACGGTCTTCTGGATGAGATCCTTTTCACCTCCGTGTTCAACCTGGTGGAGAAGTCTGACCGGACCCTCGGCGGTCACACATCCCTGTGGTCCTTCCTGATGTACGGTAGCTGCAGCTTTGTGGTGGACAAGCTCTATCTGCACCTCCATTTCCAGAGAGGCTGGGGGCTGTGGAGGAGACTCCCCGTCTACGTCTGCATCATCTACACCTGGGAGTTCACCTGGGGGCTGGTCCTCAGGCAGTTTGACGCCTGCTCCTGGGACTATTCCCACTATCCTCACAACTTCATGGGACTCATCACCCTGGTCTACCTGCCCGGCTGGATATGTCTCAGCCTGTACCAGGACGTCCTGTCCAATGTCCTGCTGAAGATCAGGTGCACCAAAGATACAGAAGATTTGAGTTTGGAAAAGGAACGAGTGAATGGGAAGCTGGAGTCAAAGACACATTAATTTGTCGGACTTTCCTTTTTTCAGACTTGTTTTTCAAAAATTATTCAATTTAATACTTTAGAAAGAATTGTAATTATTTAAATGAGATTATACAAACAGGCACCACTTACTGTTAGCAGTTTTTCATAGATTGTATATAAGAACTGGACTGAGCTATTAGTTAAACCTTTGTGATACCAAAAAAATTTTTTTAAAGATTTTTTAAGTCCTTCCTGTGACCTATGATTTGTGATGTTTTATTGGGAAAATAATTTTAAATATTTATTCTGATAAAAAGATACTTTTTTACGACCATAAACTAGTGAATGAGACAAGGATCAAACTTGCAAAAAAATAGCCTTGAGAAACAAATGTTCAGTTCGTACAAGTCAGGTTACATTACCAGTGGAGCTCTTGTCCATTTCTTGTATACGGTCTATGATTAATTCCGCTTTTAATAAATAAAGAAAACGTGCGCAGCTCTGTGATCTGATGGACATGAGTTTGTAAACCTGATCAGATTGAGTTCATCTACTGCCGTTTTTATCTCTCTATTTTCTACAGACCTGTTTTAAAAGTCTTCAGGACAGCAGTAGGTGTGATTTACTATATGTTTTTTAACATTTACGCACTAGAACGTGTTAACGTTATATCTGCATGCTAAGCAAAAAAAAAAACGATGGTTGTGTTCCCAGAAATGAATGTGTTGAAACCTTTTAAAAAGTCAGTATTTATGCCACATTTAAATATGTCAAAATAGTTTAAAGAAATGAAAGTTTTTAATTATTTATAATGTTTAAATTATGCAGATGATGCACTACTCTTTTGTGTAGCAAGAGTGAATCTGTAGCTGAACAGGGAGGAGATGTCAGATTTTACTGTGAGTCTTTCTGGAACCAAACATCACTAACGACCGTGTTGTTCTTTCTATGCACAAATTATCTCTGAAGTTCAAATAGGAGTAAAAACATAAAGATCCTGGTCACCTCAGACTGTCCTGAATTATCACCACATGTTCAAATAACTAGGATGTCCTTTTTGTTAGTCAATACTACAGGTGGTTAGCTGTTAGCATGCAAGCGATATAATTAAATGTGATACAAAAACATATGAGAAGATTCTTCAAAATCTTATACACAAGTTGTGGAGTTCTGCATAACCAGAAAACAATCAGTAATGTTATCTGCGGAATTTTTTAATGCCTCTGTGCCTGCACAGTGTTTTGACATTCTGATTGAATTACCTGAAAAGCAGCATCAGGTGGACTATAAAAACGAACACATCACTGTTTTCCACCATATTGTCCTCCACTGACTAGAAAAAAAAAAACTAAAAGCGATGCTAATGCATTTAAGACGGGCAACAGTGGTTCTGTGCACAGAGAATATAACAGCCATAACAGAAGGTGTAACCTGGGCTGTAGCTCAAGTGCCTTCCTCTGAACCGAGTCAGTAAAGGAAACACGGGCTGTAGCTCAAGTGCCTTCCTCTGAGTCAGTAAAGGAAACAAATGGTTGGTGTGTTTTATATTTCCGAGTTCGTCTGCGACTAATTGACTAAGTGGTTGACTCAAAGTGAATTTTCTCCTAACTTTTTAGATTAAGGCAGTGTGGTTGTCTTTGGTCTTCTTCAAGAGCCGAGAACTGTGATTGAACAAATGCTAATGTGTCTCTTGTTTACATGAATGCGATTGCCTGCTAATCATTGTGGTGAAGTTAGAATGCACTTTCACGACAAATATAATAACGAATTTAAATGATGTTTGTCCGGTTGTGTATTTTTTCCATTCATCAAATATTTAAATATGTGCTTTTAAGAATAATGACTTCCAATGGCATGGACCACATGAGTTTGAATTTTGAATAAATCTATCATTTTCTTCCCACAACATGTCTGGCGAGCTATTTGTTGGCAGAATCGTGATGTGTGTGACAGGGAGAGGTCACCGTCAAGCTGTAATTCTATTTTCTCTGCAGTGTTCTAGTTGTAGCCTGCTAGTTTTTATGGGGCAGTGGTGGCTTAGTGGTTAAGGAAAAGAACTTGGGTCCAGAAGGTTTCAGGTTAGAATCCACCAGCTGCCAAGTTACCACTGAGGTCTGACCTCACTTTGGTGATGGGTTAAAAACAGAGGTCACAGTTGGTTGTGTGAAGTGACAAGGAGTTCACTTTCCTTTCTTTCTTCCTTGTAAAGAAGGTTGTGAGGGACCTTTAGTATGTAAAAAAAAACCACACTAGTTACCTGTTTAATATTTGGTGCTTTGCTACTTTTATGTAAAGCGTATACTGGACTTGTGTACTCGACTGATATCTGCAGAGTCAAACCTAATCTCAACTCTTACAACTCTGAATCAAAGTGCAACGATTCAATGGCCCACCGCGTTGATTTTATGTCTGTTTGTTAGCTACAGTATCACACACACAGTCCACTCCCTGGTCCTTACCAAGGTCAATGTGCTATTGCTGCTTGATGGTTTATTGAGACAAATGTGACAAGCACGCACACACACACACACACACAAAGTGGCAGTTAAATAGGAGTATCAATGTGCTCACAAAGCAAACAGTGGCTAACGGTATAATATAATAATTGTGCGAGGTTGACGTTTTATCAGTGATCAGCCTACGTCACGGTCATAAGTCAAGGTGATAAACTGTATTATTCTCTGAACCAGGGTGTCACTCTTACGGCCAAACACACACACACACACACACACACACAGTGACACCCAGAGGATCCTGACTGACTACACTAACGACACAGTACAGTATCTGCTGACAACAAATCCAATGGGAACACAAACACCTCCACAATGACATAAGGAACACACTGCTGCGAACACACGTCGACAGCTGCCTGCTGGTTCACATCATTATTATCAAGAGCACAATGCAGACAGACCGGTCCGACAAGTACACCCTCGTTATTTAATACTGTAATCGTGATGACTGACCTCAGCTGAAACTTGCAGTAGCTTAAAAAAAACAAATGTATGCGTCCGTCTTCATTGTCAGCTGCAATCAAAGTATGCATTATACAAATGAAGCTCTACTGATTTGCTGAAGAGCAAATTCTACGACTGTTATTGCCATTGGTAGCAGCAGAAGTAGTCGTAGTCGTAGTATTAGTGATTGTTGGCTGTTGTTAGAGTTCATGCAAACATTGTTTTCTTTTTCTTTTTTTTTTTTTCTTTTTTTACTCTGATCGTATCTCTTTTCTTTCTCACGTTTAAACAAAACAACCTGTACTGGTTACCTATGGTAACAACCAAAACAAACAGACACTGGTGGAAAAAAGAAGTAGATCGTCTGCAAACGAAGAATATAGATTTTACTTACAGTAAGGTGTATTCTTTCATTTTAGGAGGTGAGGGAGTGAGTCGTGGAAAATGACCTCTGTATGTAGTCCTTGTTTCTTAAACGTAGGGTCAAGAAAGGCTAAGAGTTAGCATAAGAAAGCAAAGTTATAAATCTTTTAAATTGATCCAAAGCAGCAAAAATTAAAAAGTCAAAGCTAAGGGAGAAGTTGCTAAACGATAAATACAATTTATACAAAAAGGTGTAATCACTAATATGTTAGCCAATAAGAACTAATTATTAGCCAAAGAAAGTATAAATTTGAACTGCTTTTTTTTAGCGCCCTCTTTCTGTCTCCTTAAAATAAAAATATGAAACCAGATTTGATAAAAACAATTGTTCTCAGGTATCTGACAAATACTTACCGTAGCCATATGGTCTGATTAGACAGACTGAAGTATCGGGAATGCAGTACTGACGGTTTATTTAATGTAATTTAATTTGGAGGAATGAACTTGCGTTTGAGCTCCAGAGTAGCAATGAAAACAAATTAATCTCCATACTATGCTTAAATTATAATTTGTGACAAAATACTGTGTTCCTATTTACTGTATACAATTTCAGAGGTTTGTTCTATTGTCACGAAAGTCCAATAAGCAACACAAAGCTAACTCGTCTGAGTTTCCACCGTTTATTTACATTGACATCCAAATCACTGTCTATATAAAGACAGGTGATAAAAAAAAAACATTTCAAATGTATGAACTTGTCCCAGGAATCGTTCCTGTCGTCTGGTATGACAATAGATAATCCCCATCATTGATTACAGGGTGAAGACTTGATGAAGATGAGCTTATGTTTTCTCTTGAATTTCCCTAACAAATATATTTGTTTGGATCGGAATCACTGCAGCAGGTCGTCACATCTTCAGTAGACGCGAGCTCACACTGGTGCTGTAGTTCATTCTCTGGACTTTTATGAGCTGGGTACATGTACAGGTCCACCTAGTGGCGATTTACTAACTTTTCATTCTGGAGATTTCCACCAGAACCTTCTGTGTGTTTTTGGCTTGGTGAAGACTGTAGAGTTCAGACTCTAAGGTTAAGGTGATCGTGTCATTCAGCTACAGTACAGACGCTGAAAATAAAGCTTGCTGTTTTTGTTCCATGCAACTCTGAAAATGCAAATCAAGCCAAGGGGAAACATGCAAATAAATCTTTGCTCATCTGGATTTTAGAATCCAGCGTTGGGTCTAAGGTGACCCGGTTTGCTCATCTGGATTTTAGAATCCAGCTTTGGGTCTAAGGTGACCCGGTGGCTGATGGTATGCCTTTGTGTGTTTGTGCATGCTCTGGTTCTGGGAAAAGATGCAAACGGGTTGCGAGGACGCTGGGTGCGTACAAACTGCGAAGGAGAACCGGAGGGTTAAAGCCTGAACGATGCTAAACCTTCCAGTTGCTCCTCACTTTATCCTTTCTGACGCTAGCGTCTTGCAAGTCATCCAACGCAGCTTTATTCAGAGTACGAACTTTTTGGATCAAACCTTGTTTGACGTTAAACTTCAACGTCTTAGCGAGCTCACCGTACGACCTAGCTGTGCAGTTCATCCCCTTGTAGCACTGACAGTTAAACCCCCTCCTGAAAGCCTTCAGATCTGCAAACGTCGGTCTCCCTCGAACAAGGTAGCGGTTCTGAACCCTCAAAACCCTGAAGTTGTCCGGGTTCAGGTGGAGGTAGTGGTAGGAGTTATAGTTCTTGCGAACACAGCGGCCGTTCCCTCTGCACAGGAAGTTGCTGCAGAGCTGGGCAGCAGCAGAGACATTGGTGATGTATGGGTTGAGCGTGGTGTAGAGGTAAGATGAGAGAGACTCGCAAGAGGCCTGGAGAGCAAAGAAGAACGGTGCCATTAATCCTCCGATATCAGCAGGAGGAACAGTTACTATCAATCAGCAGCTATTGTCGGCCTGTCAGACGGCTGTATCATCTTGTTGAGGCCTTTATCTCTATCAACACAGACACTGTCTGTCTCTCAGCAGAGCACTGGAACCTCGTGGTGTGATGTTACCTGGTCGACGTAGTCAGAACTGGCCCCCCACAGTACGGCACCAGACGCTCCCACTGCTGCGCTCTCCCCGATGGTGTTGATCAAATCTCCCTAGACACAAGTAATACATTTTTTATTATTCTATGTTTTGTTATTCTATAAATTTATTTTTTTTTCTGTTGACCAGTAGGGTAGAAAATGACTGTCTGAACCAGGCGTGGGCAAAGTTTTTGGCTCGCGGGCCACAATTGTCCTAAACTTGATCAGGGGGTCGGGGTCAGGAGCCGATTCATGTGAACTGACATAAATGACGTAAAAGTCATGCCTAAAGGCTAAAATGCTTTTATCATTTTCAATGCCATCCATTGGGGAAACCTGGGTATTGCAGGGAAAACGCAGAAGTATAAGATGATAATATAAATAAATTATATAATTTTAAAAAGTTTGGTGGACCAGATTAAAAAGCTAAATGGGCCGCATCTGGCCCCTGAGCCTTAATTTGCCCATGCCTGGTCTAAACAAACAGTTTGTTAATTTCATTTGTTTTAGAACTGTTAGAACAAATTTTAGCGTGAATTTGTACATATTACACAGAAAAAGTAAGTTAACACATTTCTGGGTTGGTGGTAATGAGTTATTGAGCTAATTCAGGCTACGTTTCCTTTCATATTTTATTTTTAATTTTTCTATTGTTTTTAATCTAGTTTAGTAAATTTGGATTAAAGTTTAGATACAGTTTGGCTAAGTCTTGTTGTTTTTAATCTAGTTTAGTAAATTTGGATTAAAGTTTAGATACAATTTGGCTAAGTATTTATGCTAAGGTATTTATGCTAAGTTCTAACCTCTTTAGGTTTTGGTAATGCTACTATTTAGCATTTTTATACCGTGTATTTCCTTTTGCTAGTAATGAGGTAACTTGGTTTGAAAATATTAGATAGTAGATAGACAGATACCATTAGTTACTATGTATGTATGTGGTTTTCTAGTTGCTGGGTTTGAATGCTACCCACCAAACACTGTTCGAGGTGAGGACAGAGTGGAGGAATTACATATTCAGGGAAGGGTTACCACCTGGACAGGATGTTGTTACACCAGAGAAACCAAACTCCTCTGAAAACTGGAGCGAGTGGAACTCGGTTTAGAAATACCTCACTGCTGAGATGGAGAAGTAACCTTAGAAGTACCCAATCTAGTCAAGTGTGCGTCGGCTCCTAACCACTTAAGATGTAATCAGCTTAGAAGGGTTGATGTGATTATTAATTCAGAAGGATTAGAGGGTTGTTGTTGTTGATATACCGTGGTATCACTGCGGAATCACCCCAAAACACACGCTGTGAGCGAGGTTAGCATTAAATAAATGAACATTTAAAGGCTTTTATTCACCTGGCTGAGGAAGCGCCTGTTGTGGTCAACGAAGACAGGTCGCGTGTAAACAAACACAGGTACAGTGGCGCTGCGCTTCGGCAGGGTGGAGACTCTTAAAGCTTCACGGACACGATTTCTCACCATCAGAGCTGCGCGTGGGTTGTCGGCCAGAGAGACCTGAAAACACAATTAAAAAATATAAAATATAACAAAGAAAATGTAATTAAAATATTTATTTTCACTTAGAACATTCACGTAAAATTACCTAGAATATTTTTTACAATTTTTAAAAAAAATATATTTACTATAATTTCCATTTCTTTTCAAGGAAGCACTGTAGAAATTCAGCCCTAAATCATTACATAGCGTCCACCATTTTTTAACCAAAGGTTCAAATTAGTAACGGATGTATTTTTCATTTGGACTTTCAGACTTTTTTTCTTCTTTGTTGAAGTTTGAACAGTTCCGTTCCTGCTGCACTGTATATATCCGTAGTGGTTCCATAGTGTAGCAATTAGCCCACCTGCTTTGCAAGCAGAGAGTCTTGGGTTAAATTCCCAGAGGAACCACCACGTCCCTAAAGGTTCATCCCATGTGGCAGCCTGAATTGCAACCACATACTTAATAGCGCCTCCTGTGGCACCATGTCAGTTACAAAAACACACACTGTAAATTTGACTATTGTGAGTCAAATAAGTGACTCAGTTATTAATTATAATTATTTTTAATAAGACTTCAACAAAAAGATAATGAAAGAAATGCAAAGCACAATGTATTTCTTGACTACTGGTCAGAAGACATTTTCCCCCTGAAAGCCAAGATGAGTATTTTTTGTTTTTTACTGTTTTGTACTTACTTTAGCATTTATATTTTTTATTTTTATTTATTTATTTATTTATTTTAGATGCAAGCTTGCTCTTTGAAAGCAATTTCTTAGTATTTAACTTACAGAACATTCACAGTAATGTTTTTGACTACAGTCACAATAACTTACTGCTATGCAAATATTTAAATAAAATAAATTGTATTTATTTTTTGATGTGCACCTCAAACATTTCCCTGTAATATGTACTATATTTTTAAGGGGAAAAAAATGACCGAGTTAAGACAAAAATTAATTTGTTTCCATAAGATAAATTAGTTTGAAATAACTTGTGTGCAACACAATTTTCTCTCACTAACCTGCAAATATACCGAGGGGTAGAGGGCGCTGCTGGACTCCCACAGCCACTGCAGCTGATCATTCTGCCTCCTCACTCCTTTGGAGCAGCGGCCGCTGTAGTGCGGCTCCAACCAGCCATAATTGTAGCAGTTAGGGAACAAGTAGAAGCCCCAGAGATAGTTGGGTCTCATGGTCCTGCCCATCGTCAACATCCCTGACATCCAACTCCTGGCTGCCAGCTACAAACAGTCGCTGTCACGCATTTGTCCAGAACTACATCCCATCACATATTTTTGTGCATACGTTAAGAATCATGAACTGTGTTTTGACCTGGAACTGTTTCTTGGCTTCCGTCGTGGCCTGCTGCACCGTGATAGAGCGGTTTGTCTGCAGGATATGTTTCACAGATAAAGTCTGATAGATTTTCTTAGAGCCCCAGTTTCTGTCCCACAGAGGGCGCCATTCCTCCCAGTCGATGACAGCCAGGCCTCTACTGGTCCTGATAAGAGATTCAAAATGGTAAAAAAAAAAAAAAAGTTGAAATCAGATTTGAATTTCTCCATTAATTTTGTTCTGTCAGAGTGACTCACTTGGATGGGATGTAGTACTTGATGTCCGCCTTGGCCTTGTCCATACTGGCTTTGAGGTTCCCTCTTTGAGGGATGCCGCCGTAGAACTGTTTTCGACCGATGATGTCCACGTGTGGGTAAAGACCCAGTCTGTCAGTGTAGAACAGTGACAGGAACTGACCCGGAACCTAGAAAACAGTCAGAACACATCAGATGTTGAATGTAAAGTATTTGTATATATGAGTCAAAAAGTTCTAAGACAAATTGGAAACAAGTTATTTTTTATATATATAATATATAACTAGGCAGAGGGCATTTTAAAAAAAATATTGAAATTCAAATTAAATGACACACTGAGTAAGCATTTTTAAAACTGCGGATAAAAATGTCCAGCAGATCCAGGATCAGTGTAGCCGTCTCTCTCGGCAAAAAGAGACCGGGGAAAATGGGGGAGACAGCGGAGGGGTGAGTAAATATCTGTTTGTTAAATAAATTGTTTTTAACGCTTGCAAAACATCAGTCCACCTACCTTTGCAGGTGTGGCCACGCCCTTGAACGGTGACGTGTCCAGGGAGACGTTGTATTTCTTGCACACCAGATCAGGAATATTCCAGCTAACTATAAACGGCTGGTGGTCAAACAGCGGGGGTGTCGTTTGAGGGAGAGGTTGCGGTGGTCTGACCTGACGAGACCTGGTTTTTTTCGTAGTTGACGTTGAGGTTTTGAGAGGATGAGTAGATGAAGGAGATGTTTCAGAGATGAAGGAGAAGACTTTGTTAACAGGAAGTGATGTTGAAACGTAGGACAGCTTTTTGGTCGAAGAGTTTGAAAATGAATGTTCTGGGAATGCAGACGTGCTGGAGAGAGTAAACTTTGTCACATTCAAAAGAGTTCTGAAAATGTTTTTTGACAAAGAGGTTGGGTGAGTGTCAGTGAGAGTATCTTTGTTTGAGGGCAGAACAAAGTTTCTAATATTAGAATAAGTCAAACTTGACAGAGGAGTAAATATAGATTTGTTTGTGTCAATACCAGGAGCGGGAGCAGCGTTTGGCGTCTGTACGTCAGCAACAGCACAAGGAGGACAAACAGACAGAAGTATTACAGTGAAGAAACACAGAGACAGAGACGGAATAATGGAGCGTGAGGACAAGAGAAGAAGTGACACACAGTCTCTGCTCTTCTGTGTGATGAAAACCATCCTTTCATCTGCCTGGGAACAAACAGAAACCAAAATAAAAGTGTCAAGAAAAAAAAGCTGTTAAATCAGAAAATAGTGTTAAAGAATCCTGAATCCACAGCAATGGTTTTCTACCAGTTTTCATTAAGCAGATGTCAGTGTTTACCCCTGGCATTTATTCTACAATGCTAACAACATTGTACCTTAAATATATAAAGTTAATGTTTTATATACTGTATTTTAGAAAGATAGAAATGGGTTTGATTGAAATTTGTTGGCAGAGAAATGTTGTACATTTCCCCACAATACTAGACACAATATATAAAACTTACCATTGAACATAAAATACATAGTTATACATAAATAAATATATACATATATATATAGTATATATACACATATAAATATCTACATGTATATGTATATATACATATATTGCATACATATAAATGTGTGTGTGTATATATATATACATATACACACATACATATACATATTTACATATATGCATTTATATGTATGTATAAATGCATATATACTGCATACATATAAATAAATATATACATACATAAACGTATATATACGTATACACACATGTAAACATATACATATCTACATATATATTTATGTATAAATACAAATATATACTGCATACATATAAATAGATATATACATACATATATAAATATATGTACACATATATACACACAAACATATATATGCATATATATTTGTGAGTAAATATATATATATATATATATATACTGCATACATATAGATATATAAATAGATATATACATACATATATGTACAGACACACATCTACAAAGGTTCACGTTTAGCACCTACCACACACACGTGCTCAAATGTCAATCCAGATTTACACTTTGTTCAGATCAGAATGAACCTCAAGCCACAGTTATCAACAAAACAAATTGTGAAAAAGGTAAAGTGTCTGTACCTGGACATGCCTTCAGAGTTGTTGTCTCACCATGAGGCTGCGGAGAGAGAGTGATGACATCTGCTACAGTGACGGAGACCTACACTCTACATGCACTGTACAAGGATGCACCCCACATGCACTCACCCTTATGTTTTGTTTTTCCGTTAACAGAGTTGAACCTGGAGCAGCGGAGTCACACCCAGGTGTGACTCCGCTGCTGTGTCTCCATACAGTTTTGGCATCAGTGTGGGGATCATCATACTGTGGATGCTGCTGCCTGTCGCCCTGGATGGCCTTGAAAACAAGTATATCAGGTAAATAGTAATGACTAGTAAAATGAATGTAACGTGCAGAGATTTGACATGAAGTTGAAGCATACAGTACTGGGGACTTTTTATTATCACAAAAGAATTGTGAAAATGTCAAAGGAATAGGTTTTTGGTGCTGTTTTTGTCAGTGCTTACATTTTCAGTTTGGATCCAGACTCATTCTGTTTGCAGCTGCAGTCAGACTTCCTTACCTTCCTTCCTCTGTACAGTGAGGAGACAGCACAGTCTGACACCCAGGTGGTAAAGAGGGGGGGGGGGGATAGGAGGGCATTAATAACAACTGTCTTTGTTTGCGTAGAATATAATTACATCTGGGGAAAGAAGTGGAGACAACAGATAAATCACAGTAGACATAAAAAAATCAGTCTCTCTCTCAGTGTTTAAACAAACACTGACATTACTGATGAGTAATGAATGAATGAATTTACTGTGTGTGTGTGTGTGCGCGTGTTTTTGTGTCTGGTCAGTACAATAAAAAAAATACACCAAATGGTGTTGATTTCACAAGTTGCTGACAAAGTGTGAACAGTGGGACAGCAGCCTCCTGCCCTACATTACTGTAGCCAGGTGTGTAGGTGGTGTGTGTGTGTGTGTGTGTATATTTAGGTTACAACTATGTTTCAGTAAAGCAGTACAGTACACTGAGGAGAAACTACTTTCTTAGACACTCAAAGTGATAGATGACATAGATATCCTACACATATGTTTACTAGAACTACATACAGTAGGTGGAAAGAAAAAGAAATGTAGATGCGGTTACATTGTGTGGGCTGCATAAGGTCATTATCTGGTCATGACCCATATGGGCAAAACATGTGGGATCCACAAACATAACAAGCATTGAAGGTTCTCTGCAGTGAAGTGCTACTTAATTGTCCTAATAAAATTAGATTAATTTGGAATAGATCAGTTCTCAAATAGTGGGGCAGGTCCCCCCATGGGGTCGTAAGGGGCTTCCAATGAAATATGGCATGCTGGACATAAGTGTACCACTGCTGTAATGTTTGAATGATAACAGCCTCCAGTCGCTAGGGGGCAGCAACTCACACAGTGGTTTGTACAGATAAAAATATACATGTTATCAGGTTCTCAATAGTATTCGCGGGGGTGTGGGTCAAAAAGAAAAACTAATTACAGTACATACAATAGTCAGCTACAGAATAACGAAGGTCAGTTGGTGCAGAGGACCTGGGATTCCATATGGTCAGGGTTGAATTTCAACTGTGTTCTGAAATGCACCAGACAAAAAAACTGACCCCCCTGTTGCTGATCATGTCAAGCCTCCTGGTGCACACACACACACATACACACACACTGGCAGCATCATGAAATAACAACTTAAGGCGTGTGGTTCATGCAACAGATGGAGTTCCCAACAATTTTTAATGCGCTCAGTACAGCCAGGGATAGTAGTTTATCGAGGACAGTACAATGCTGCCACCTTGTGGTCACGGTCTAAAACATTTAATGTCGTCACAATTTATGCACTATTAGTGAATCCCTCAGTAAACAAATCTGGTTTTTAAATATCACAGATAATATATATATGTATATAGTCGGTTCCATAGTGTTGTATTATACAGCTAATGCTAAACAACATTATTAAAAAACATTATTATATATGTTAGGGATTGCAGTGTTAAGTTAATCAGAGAAAATGTTAATTTAGATATAATATATATAATTTTTAAACGAATTATCTGATTTTCATATTTTCCCAGACAACAACAAAAACAAAGGACATAATCCTTGTCATCAACATGTGTAGGTGAGAAAGTGAAATCCTATTCCTGGTGAAAAAAAACAAACATATAATACCTTCTTCTTCTTCTTTAAATAAACATTTATCAAGAGGAAGCCTGTGGTAATATTTCCCCTAAAACAGCCTGTAGAACATGCTGAGATATGAAAAGGCTGTTTTTATAAAATATTTATACACATGCCTGCGGGGGTGTCCTTCTCCATTCAATTCAAAATATAATATTCATGTTGTCATCTTCCTTCCTATTCTATAACCTCCAGTAATAGTCTATTACATGCTTGTGATCTCTGCTATTTAAAAAAAAAAAACACTGAGTACATACTTACTACTCTCAGCTGTCAGTATTGGTTAATTTCTGTGACTGGAGTATCTGTGTTCCTGTTTTTAGGTGTCTAACCTCAGAGCCCATTAAGAACAATATCTGACTGTGTCCACTTTCACCACATTACTGATATAAAAATACGTTATCCACGATGAGTCAGCTACGTCTATGTCTCACTAAAGCCAAAGCTAAAGGCGGAACGGCACACTGTTCTCTGAAACGTTTCTCTGCCTGTTGGTCAGGTTTTTCAAGTTCCACCAGACTCTGCTGAAAAGTAGGGAACAGAGGTGAACCAAGTGGAAGCATTTGGAAATGAGCTCAGAAGAATGAATGTCAGAATGTGCATGTCCACGTGTAAAGGTTTATATTTCTAGTATAAATTAATTTGGCTCTGTTGGTGTTTCTCCAAATATTAGCACCACACTAGTATAAATTAATTTGGCTCTGTTGGCGAAATATTAGCGCCACGCTAAAGTTATATGTATTGGTTTCTACATACAAAAATAAATTGTCAGTGTGTTTTAATGGCTAGGCTAGGCTAGCGTCATTTCACACCATGCTCCAGACAGGATTGGCAACACTCGGCAACTGACAGTTTACACAGTGATTTAAATGTACAACATGTGATTACTGAATTTAAAGTAATACATGAAAACAAGTAGCTTATTTACTAATTGTCTAACGGTTAAAATGTTCTTTAAAAATAACTTTAAGATATTGTCTTTGACATCCTCAAGATAAATAACTTTAAGATATTGTCTTTGACAGCCTCACGATTTTTTTTACTCTATATTCTGATAACATTCATCTGTATGTAGCATCATTTTTGTTAGCATCTTCACCAGGAAAGCTGTTAGGTCGCTGTGGTTTCTCAAGCCCTCGTTGTGTCAATTTTATGATTGGAGGAGATAAAAAAAATGGTTACTTTATTATGTCATCGTTTATATCACTTGTTTTCCACCGTGTGTTTTTGACAAGGTCTACTTTTTTTCTGTTATCATATAAACAACACCCATTTATGAGCCTGACGGAGCATGTTGCAGTATGTGAAACAGCCTTTGGCACCTTTTGAAAATCTGTTTGGTTCTAAAGAGCCTGCTCTTGTTCAGGGTTGTTTAAACTCTCCTCAAGTTCTGCATGCCATAATCAGATCATAATTAAACTGAATGGTGCGGTTTGTACATTTGCTGACTGTTATGCTGCAAGGAACCACAAGAGTGTTGTATTTTGCAGCAGTGCTTGACATGTCGCATGTTCAGATGTTCTAATAAGGAAGCCTGACCCACGGGCTAGACAGTAAATAGAGCGGTCATAATCACACAGTACACAGATGATGACGGCATTATTAGCCCCTCTTATATAAATAACCATTTTAAAGTATATTTTCCTGAGCAATTTTTAAATGCATAAATATGAAGCTAGTTTAAAAAAGCTAGCTGTCTAAAAAACATTGAATTGATAGAGTATGTCATATGTCATATTATACGTATTAACAATGTAACAACAATATCTAATATACAAGTCTTAATAATATGTTTATTATGATTCTCTTCTAAAGCCGTTGTTCGTTATACATCACAAAAATATTTTTTAAAAAAGGGCTCAAACAGTGATCTTTTTACCTAACATAGGCTCCAAGGTTTTCCACATTTTAAATTCCACATTAAAATGAATCCGGTATGTATTGACACAATATTCTGTGGCTGTTTGTAGTTTCTTGTAGTTTGAAATGTACAAGAAACTACAAACTATGATGTCGCATTTGAAGTGCGGTAAATGTGTTGCTCATGTTAATATTCCGCTTCCCACTGGGACCACAAGTGCATGGACTTGGCAACTTGCGCCTTTTTCTTATCTCCTCCCATTCTGCTCTCGCACACATTCCTAGTCATAAAAGCCACGGGCAGGCAGGACCAAACCAACTCACAAGGGTTCGTATAATAATTCAAACAACAAAGGTGTTTATTTTTTGTAATTTTTTTCCGGAAATAAATATAAAAACATTCACCTTATTTTTTTATCTAATCCTCTCTTTGTCTGCAGCAGTATCATTTAAATTTTGAAGCTTTCTGGAAAGTACTTCGTGAACAGATTCTCCCCCGTTTCTGGACAAATGGTCTGGGCCTGACACTGCCATGTTGGATGGAACTGGCTGCGGGCTCTCCAGCCGTCCGACTTCTCAGGAAAGTTTTCAATCGCACTACGTACCAGTGCAGTGGCTGCAAAGCTGGTCGTATTATTAAGACTAGCGGGACGTCACACCGCTCTTGTACTTTATACGTTTCCCCGTGACAACCCGAGGACACCTGGCACAAAACCAAACCGGTGTGATCGGGGTCTTGGGAAGGCCACGGATGACCGCGGGATTGTTTATGTATCATCGTGGATCCCACAGAACGAGTTAAGAGTCGGTGCAGCAGACTTTGTAAACTGATCGCCAATAATGAGTGGAGCTCCGTCGCATCGGCGGCAAAACAACGTCGGCTCGATACTACTGACACCGCAGGAAAATGAATCCCTCTTCAACCACCTCGGCAGGAAATGCATTGTAAGTTTGTTTGTTTGAAAAAAAAGAGGAAAAAACTATTGTTTAAGAGCCAGGAAAAAACAGGCTAACTCTGCTAACTTGCACCGTGTTTCCTGTCTCTCGTAAGGAGACAAAGCTGGCAGAGAGTTAGTTGTACCAGTGTTTTCCTGACCCACTTTTGTATGTGTGTTGCTATCTGTGCATATATATGTTTAGGATTATTTAATACGAGCTTGTGACTGGAAGAGGAAGGATTGTTTTGACAGCTGAGGCAGTCGAAGAGGACTGGAGGGGACGCAGTGACAATTGGACAACAGAAA